CTCTCTCTCTCTCTCTCTCTCTCTCTCTCTCTCTCTCTCTCTTTCTCTCCCTCTCTTTCTTTCTTCCTGTTCTCCGACACTGCGCTCACCTGCGTCAGCGTACAACGTTGTTCCCGTTTCCGAACGAATGACTTATGTGGACCTTGCGAGCGAGACGATCGTTTTCGAAGTGACGGTCGTTTTTAGTGCGAATAAACTTTATTTCGCTTTTGACACTTGGAGGTGCCGAGAGTACAAGGAGGATACAAATGGAGACCAAGACCGAGCCGCTGACGCCGCCACAAACGCCACCGACAATCGATAGATCGATGCATCAGCCCCAACATCCGCATCCGCATCAGCATCAGCATCAGCTTCAACATCAACAGCAACATCAGCAGCAACAGCACGTAGTTTTTTCAACCACCAAGTGGACCAAGTCGGGCCTCTTCACCAACAGATATTTCCAGCAACAACAGCAACACGTCCAGACGCATAATCCTGGAAATTATCCGAACGCTCTCTTTGATAATTGGTTGAGGAATACGGCTATAGGCTTAGCCGTTAGGAATTGTTGCTCCCAAGCACGTCCTCTGTACTATCATCATCAGGCCCAGCCGAATATATTTCCGGTGCCGCCACCACCACCGCCGTTCCTCACCCGAAGATCAGCGGGTCAGAGACCTAAGAAACAGTTCATCTGCAAGTTCTGCAATCGGCATTTCACAAAGAGCTACAACCTGCTGATTCATGAGAGAACGCACACTGACGAGCGACCGTATTCCTGCGACATATGCGGGAAGGCCTTTCGCAGGCAGGATCATCTGAGGGATCATAGGTAAGCATTTATTTTCAAAATACACGCTTTTGTTGGCAAACTGATGATGATAATCATACGAGATAACAAGTATCTTACGTCGATATAACACAAAAGGTGTTTAGGAGGATAAGATAATTATGGAGAAAAGATTATGCAGAAAAGGATTTAATATATCATAGTGATAATAATATAGCTCGGTATATATTGCTACCGGTTTATACTGTAAATTCTATGAAATTACATAAATTTCCATAACGGTTCATTTTTCCACAAGTGAAAGGTTAAAAAGTAGATAAAATTATATTGAAAATAAAATTATAAAAAAATTATAAAATTATAGTATTTTGGAAGATTTTAAAGTAAGAATGAAAGGTTGCGGTGTCTATTGTTAGAGCATCAAAGTGATAAATGTTAGTATATTATTCGCAAAGTTCCAAAAAAATGTCTAGCTATTTATGGGAAAGTCCTTGAGAAAATGATATATAGCTTGCCTTAAATATTTCCAAGTAATTTTGATAAAAAATATCTATTCTTTACTTTTTTGTATTTGTCCTCGCTATCCTTTTAAAATAAAGGCGTGATTTTTTTTTTAAAGAGCATGCAAATATGAAAGTAACATGATATATAAATTTGCTGTTTATTTCACGGACTAATGAAAATATTACTTATTTTGCATAATTCTATATTTTTTATTCGATAAAAATAATAGAAAGTAGAAATATGTCAAATCATAGAAAAAGAATTTTGAAATTTGTAGCAAATGCATTAAACGCAGTTTAATAGTTCAATAAATAGTATATAGTTCAATAAATATAATAGTTTTTATACTTTTTAGATATTAAAATCAAATAATAATTTGAAAAGTTAATAGACTAAAAATCACATACGATATAAAATGAGTAATTAATTCTGTTATGTGCGTCGTTTGATTATTATGTTCTAAAAAAATTAATTAATGGAATTTCGTTTAATTCGTCCTTTTGGATTACAATAAGCAATATTTTCGATTGGATTAATCGCTACACATAAAGTTTGCTGATGAATCTTTAATCAGTTTTCATTAATAATATGACATTTCTGAGAATGAATAGTATAATTCCAATTCCTACGTCACAACAGTGCACGTCATAACAATGCGAACAAAACAATTCTTTTTTTGCCGATCTTAATTATTTTATAATTTTTATAATACAAATTTAATTATCTTTTCATCATTTCATCAAACGAAATATGCAATAATTTATATTTTGCTTCTTATTTATTTTATAAATACTTTTTGATTACGATTATATGTTTTATACATAAATGACTTAATCGAAGATTAAAACATTTGTACATGTTTTATTGTTATAAATTTTATCTAACCATAACATAAAATCTAGCTTGGCTGACATTCTTTTATATCATACTTAATTTTTAGAAATTATTTATTTAATAGTTTATAGTTTATTTAATAGTTTATTTATTTAATAGTTTATTTGATAGTTTTATAAAATTCTTTTCGAAAGACTTTTGATATATTTAATGTTGTTTATCTATTAATAATTTAGAAATTTTTTGTCATCATTATTCCAAAAGTTAACATAAAAATTTATTAAGCTAATTGGTTTATCTAGCTTGGTATCATTAATTGATTGTTATTATTATTTGGCTATTATGCTGGAATAAATAATTTTTCATAACATATACGCACATCGCTCGCGGCTCACGTATGGATTAATGATTATCATTAGCATATATGATACAATACCAGAGTATTTTTTATAATTCAGGAGCATTACGCAAATTGATATTATAGTATACTATATTTCTGTATCGTATCTATTATTTAAAAATATTTTTAAAACATTTTATTTTTACAAATATTTTTAGGACCTAATTTTTATAAACAAATATGAAACAAAATTAAAAATAAACATAAATTAATAATTGGTTTATGTTTAAAAAAATATATATATGATTTTTTTTTAATTTGAAAGGCACAAGTTTTTTGTATCAACAGCAAATATTTTATTCTTGATCAAGTTCCACGTCTACATTCCACGCTTATAAAAATTGCACATAAAGATATCAATACAGACTATATATTTATCATTTATCAATATCGACGCTTTGTGTCATCTTTATGAAAACAGGAAATATCAATTTGCTACGATTATCAACATCCATTTGGAAATCATGTGTAATTATCATCCAATCAGGAATAAAAGAGAAAAGCTGGCATTTTTCCAAATGCTACTAATTACTAAAAATAAAACAAGAATCATCATTATAGGAAAAAATCAATTTATAAAACAATTATTTTCTAAAAAAGATTATTGGGACGTTAAAATTACCATTTATCATATTATAAGATGTATGCGTATAACATATTTTACACAGCAGTTACGGAAAAATAACAAAAGGCAAGATTACCAGTATCGGATGAGTGTAACCTGGGCTGACGAATTTTTAAAATTTTAGATATATACACAGCAAGGAGAAGCCGTTTAAATGCAACGAGTGCGGTAAAGGGTTCTGCCAAAGCAGAACTTTGGCGGTTCACAAGGTCATGCATATGGAGGAGTCGCCGCATAAATGCACAGTATGCGGCCGGAGCTTCAATCAAAGGAGCAACCTGAAGACGCATCTTTTGACGCACACAGACGTTCCGCAAGATCTCAGGATCGAGACTTCGGTGTCATCGGATTCAAGGATGTCCTCGACAGAGATTAGACAAATGGAACGAGTGAACGGCCTCCTGCCAATTCCAAAGAAGAATACACACACCAAACTGGGTTTTACTATAGAGGACATAATGAGACGCTAAGGCATTATGCCTTTAATTTAAATCTGCGTGCATTGTCCACTTTCTCTTTTCTTTGTATCATAGTTTTTCAATTTCTACTCAGGATTGAGCGAAGTTAAATTGACTCATTCTTGTTACGCAGAGTGTCCCAAATCTCCCGTGAAATCCCGGTCAAGGCTCTCGAGGTCATTTTAGGACGAAAATCTTAATGTCAAAGTGTTAAATAGTTTTCAATTAAATTAGAAATCGTTAAAGTTGAACAATTAAATGATCTGAAAACGATTCACGTGCTCAGGCATGACATATTGCATAACAGTATGAAAATTGTCGCATATTTATTATACATTTTATATTATATCCTTAACAGCATTGTGTATTAGGATTTTCATCTCGAGATAACTTCAGGAATCTGTTATATATTAACGGTTGTTGTAAAAGATCTAGGGCACTCTGTATATTTTATTATTGCTAATTATATGTTTTATCTTACATGTTTTTCTAGTGTCAGCTGGATTGGCCTTTAAAAGTATTGAAACATTTTTTTAATTTTTTTACATTGCTATTGATTCAGGACCTAGTGAACCAATTCTGATAAACTTCAATCAACAATTAATTCAGTTGATAATTATGAATAATAAGAACTCTAACTCATATTATCACTTTTACTTAACTTTTTTCCATTCAATATTTTTGAACACATCGATAAAATCAATAAATATTAATTAAATCATATATTAATTATTTCTAATTATTTGAATATTTTTAATAATATTTTTTTTCCATTTTCTATGAGATCTATTCTACCGGAAAATTATGTTAAAAACAATGAATATGAAAAATTTTGCTACTAGCCGCTTTTGAATCATTGATTGAATCAATGATTCGAATTCGATTACAATTTTCATGTTGGTGTCAATTGTTCTTCTTTTCCTATGCCACTCGCGTGATAATAAATTTTAATAACAAATTGTAAATTTAACGAACTGTAAATTTTAATAATGAATTTGCGTAATTAAGTTTGCTTCAAAAATAAATTTTGAGACATTTTTTAAATGTCATTAAAATTTGCTTTTTATATATAAATAAAATTTTTACATTTAAATAATTCTTATTTCATTAATAATAAAAAATTAATTTTTTAATATTAATTGTATGTATGTATATGTGTGTGTATATATATATATATATATATATAAAACTTATATATACTTAAGAATTTTTAATTATAATTATAAAATTATAATTATTGTAACATTTTATTTAAAAATCTTGGTTTGTTTATTAATTGCAGTCGCATTGAATTTTAATGTTAAATATGTATGTTAATTTTTG